AAGTCATGTGTACCGAGTTCTATGGAACCATTTTGGGCATGGGACCATGTGTGCGGTCGGTAAAAACTATGACTTACAGGAAATTCCTGAATTGATCTGGGTGATTTTTGGAAATGTTGGTCACCCAGATCAGGGCTATCAGGGGATGTAACTTTTGTGGGGATTTTACCCTGTCATGGTGGTTGAAGTAATCTTTTATTATGCTGTATTTTTCATGTTACAATCTAAATTTTTTTAGTTAAAAACTTAGTAATTTGAGTTGGCAATATTTTATGATATTTTTATCTAAATATATTCCATGGAAGATAATAAAACAAGCCAGACCATCGTATAGACGAACATCAAACCAACCAAAAAAGTTTTTTGTACAGAGTAATTTGGCTAAACCCAATATTCCTGCCATGCACAAGTCTAGTCAGTTCACTAGCAAAGAAGGTAGTAGGAAAGATACAAAGGCGTATGTGGCGAAACCGGCCTCGCCACGTGTCCTTGGAGGGGGCTGCTTGCCCGCCTCTTGCCTTTGGACTATGGACCAGACTTTATGAGAATGTGTTAACCCAGATAGCTATGCCATGGAGCCCATTCGTGTAGTTAAAGACTTCGGCTCCATAGCAATTGAACTGTGTGAACAGGATCTGAGCGCTCTTCAGTAGTTTTGTGCGCTCAGATCCCAGCTATCTGGGGATATGTGAAATGTCTGTGTGTTATGTGAAAAGGTTACTTTATGTATTTTAAAGTGTTTTGTGTCTTTTTGCAACCATGTGCTTAATGGAGTCTTGTGTCTGTTCTGGGAGATAATTGAATTACTCTCCAGGATAGAAGACTCTGAAACTGGTTTGGGCCAGAAAGCCATGCTTCATTTAGTCACAAAGGACTTTCCCTTAACTTTTGAACCCCTGGTCTGATTCGTGCCATTTTTAATATGTTGTTCCCCTGAATGGATTGATTATGAAAATGTATGTTTTATGTTTGTGACATGTATAGTTTAGAAGTTATAAATATTGTGTAAAAACTGTATTCCTCTGCCGGTGATAATGAGATTACCCATTGTGTTCAGTAATCATATCACCTGCAGAGGGGAGGATTTTGTGTGGGAGTGTCTGGGTGTATTGTACGGATTGATTGGTTGTTTTGTAATGCCCTGTGGGCTGTACTATGTTTGGGGATTGGGAATAAAAGAGACTGTATGTGACAGTACAGGGAGTTCCTGCTTAACCCTCAAAGTGAAGTGTTGTCTCATTATTGGGGGAAGGATTTATTGTATGCTGTTCCAGTTTGACTGCTAGGAGAGTAAACCTATTCGTATGGTTCCTATTCAACTGTCTACAGCATTCATATGCTTGAGAGGATTCATATGCTTCTCCGGTTTGGTGGTTGTGGTGTCTGCTGCAGTGCTTGGAGTCCTCAGGAAGCGCTAGGAGCATCCTTTAACGGAGGTACCCAGTCGGGGTGCCAGGCGATCCGTTACAGCGTATTACCAGACTTTAGAGCGGCACAGTTTAATGCTAGAGGGGAACTAGAAATATAATGTCTAATAACTAGCCAAGGTTCTGTTCACTACAAACGGACGAGCCAAGTCAGGAAATCAGAAGTAAGGGTAGTCACAAAAAAATGCCAAAGTCATAACCATGAAATACCAAAATACAATATAGCACACTTAAAGGACCACTCCACATTAACAAAAAGCATCCAAACAAACCAAAGAAACTTTATATGTACCCCCAAAGAAGACATGCATGCATTTCATACATTAGGTGTATTTTAAAATAACTAGAAAAATCTGCATTTTCCTTTGCAAGCCCTGCCCTTCTTCTCTGGAAAATGCTTTGTCTTTTTGGGGGGAATAAACCAACCAGAGGCTTCTTAATGAGGAGCCACTGAATCCATGAGGCTTGCATGCTGTATTTTGGGAATGAGTGTGTGAGCTCTATTTTATTTTTACCTGTGCACCTTTCATCTAGCACTTTCACCGTGATATTTAATCAGTTTATACAGTTTTCAGATCTTTACCTTCCAAGCAATTCCGAAAACTGTGCTCGGATGCTGTGCTGTAGGGGGGCGTGTCATAGGTGCTTATGCCTAATACAGCTGTCACATCAGCTCGTCCAGGTTTTCGTGCAGATGGACTATAACCAGGTTTCCTGATAAGATTTGCCCGTTGACAAACGCAATCTGGCATGACACAATACCGGTTATCAAAATCCAACTCTCCACAAGTAACCTGTGAAAAGAGAACACATTTAGTCCACAGTTTGTCCAACAAAGACATGCACACTACGGTCACTGTCTAATTACCTTACTATTTTGTCCATTCTTCATCTAATATTACTTCCCTTCTGTTACAGACTGCCATTTGTAACTGTTATTTTATTTGACAAATTGCCCTGCTTCCCTGTGTTATGGAGAAACCTAATTGCCAGCCTTCTGCCCCATGACTATGGACCTAGTGTGTATGGCGATTTGACTGTATTTGTGGGATCTGAGCGCTGTTTGGATATATTGAGCGCTCAGATCCAAGCCATCTGGAGATAGGTTGAATGTGGGGGTTCTGTTCAGTATGATAGGAGTTAGGTATTTATGTGTCTTTTTGTGTCTTTTGCTAACATGTGGTTAATGGAGTCTGCCTCTATCCCTGGATATAAGTGGATTATTTTCCCCATTGTCTCCTGGATAGAGGGCTCTGTAAAACCGGTTTGCCAGCCAGGCCCCAAAATATACTTTTGCTAACTTTTGAACCCCTTGTCTGATTTGTGCCATTTTTTAATATGTTGCTCCCCTTAATGGATTGATTCCAAATATGTAATTTTTCTGAAGATTGGATTTGTAGTTTGGAAGTTATAGTACATGTATAAAAACTGTATTTTTACTGCCTGTGTTTAATTATGTTAACCCATTGTGTGCCATAATTAGATCACAGGCACAGGGGAGGATTTTTGTGGTGTCTGCTGCAGTGTTTGGAGTCCTCAGGAAGCACTAGGAGCTTCCATCAACGGAGGGTACTCGGTCGGAGTACAGGGAGCTCCGTTACACCTTCCTAGACTCACTGACCTTTCTCACCCTACCACTCACATGTACTCACTGTTCTTCCTCATCTTTAAGTGCACCTTCACTTGTCCATGCTCTACTCATTATGCTCACTCAAGTATAATTTATTTTCCTTCCCTACTTTATTGTCCTTCCTCATCTTACTATCAACCCACTACTTATTGTTTTCAATTGTCTGTCCACTTTCTGCTCACTCTTTGTTGTCTCCCTCTTTACTAGGGTGCCTGAGCAAGTATGTTGGAGAAGAGCAATGGCACAGAGAGCTTGGATGGAGAAAGAAGGCACAGAGAGAATAGGGCAGAGACATGGTACAGAAAGAATAGGGCAGAGAGGTGGCACAAAGAGAATATGGCAGAGAGATGGCACAGAGACTAGAGGTAGAGAGATGTCACGGAGAGAATAGGGCAGAGACATGACTTCAGGAGCCCTGCGCAGACCAGACTTCAGGACATTTTCTATGAGAGGGAAGCTAGGCATGACTGGGATGACCCCCATGAGGTAGAGCAAGACCTGGCTCACCTAGCAACCCTGGAGTTGGAACTGGAGCAGGACTACCGAGATCTCTTCCACTCCATTTGACCCTCGCTCAACGCTCAGCAGGACAGCAAGGTGACAGACCCAGATCCAGACCCCTTCAGCTGGGAAGATATTGTAGAGCTTTACTGGGAGGAGCCCCGGGCAGCAGGTGGAGATGGGACTGAGGTCTCTCCACCGGCCCTACAGGGATGCTGGGCGGTCAGCCCAGAACCCCAGCGGCAGATTGATTTGCAGGGAATAGAGAGCCATGTCTCCTTTCCCAGCGGCAGTGTGAAGTGCAGGGAGTGGAGAGCATCGTCTCCCCTCCCCAGCGGCAGTGTACCTTGCAGGGAGAGGAGAGCAGCATCCTCCCTTCCCAGCGGCAGGGTAAGTTACAGGGATGCTGGGCGGTCGGCTCAGATCCCCAGCGGCAGTGCGATATGCAGGGATTTGGGAGCCCAGTCTCCATTCTCCAGCAGCAGTGTGATATGCAGGGAATTGGGAACCCAGTCTCCATTCCCCAGCGGCAGTGTGATATGCAGGGAATTGGGAGCCCAGTCTCCATTCCCCAGCGGCAGTGTGATCTGTAGGGAATAGGGAGTCCAGTCTCCATTCCCCAGTGGCAGAGTGATTTATTAGGAATTGGGATCCTAGTCTCCATTCCCCAGCGGCAGAGTGAATTGCAGGGAATTGGGAGCCCAGTCTCCATTCCCCAGCGGCAGAGCAATGTACAGGGAATTGGGTGCCCAGTCTCCATTCTCCAGCGGCAGAGCAATGTACAGGGAATTGGGAGCCCAGTCTCCATTCCCCAGCAGCAGGCCGAGCTACCGGGGGCAGAGACGGTCGGTCCTGTCCTCCAGCAACAGGGCTGTTTAGCCAAAGGGGAGACATTCGGTCTCCCCCTCCAGCAGCAGAGCTGTGTATCCATAGGGGAGACAGTCATTCCCCCCCTCCAGCAGCAGAGCTGTGTATCCAAAGGGGAGACAGTCGGTCTCCCCTTCCAACAACCAGGCTACTTCCGTGGTAGCGCTGGCACCAGGGCAGAGTACCGCTGGTCTCTGCCCACTCAGCAACCCACCAAGGCAGCTTACCAGTACCCAGCACAGCCATGGTGAGGCACCTGGACATGGACAAGTTTCTCCTCTACCCAGATGTAGTAACCAGTTATTGTGGGTGGGCTGTACTGCTGATTGTGTTTTGTGGGTGGGCTGCTGGACTAACCAGGGCACTGATCAGCAGGAGGTCAGATACCCTGTTAGTCTGTTTGGAAAAGGGGAGAGATGTGACAAGACCAATCTCGCCACTGTGCATTGGAGGAGCCTGGTTGCCCGCCTGCTGCCTTTAGACTATGGCCCCATGTTGAAACGCTTGATTTTCCCCTGCAAAGACATGAAAGCTGGGTCATTCGGTGCTTGCCCTGTTTGAGCGGTGATACCCCAGGTAGCTATGGCATTGAGCCCATTCGTATAATGAAAGACTATGAGAAAGACTTTGGTTCCATGGCAATTGAACTGTATGTGTATGTTCTGAGCGCCCTTCAGTAATAATGTGTGCTCAGACCTAAGCTATCTGGGGATATGTTGCATGTCTGTATTTTATGTAATAAATGTAACTTTGTGTATTTTATTGTATTTTACTGTCTTTTTACTGCCATGTGCTTAATGGAGTTTTGCCTTTGTTCTTGGAGATAATTAGATTACTTCCCAGTTATCTCCAGGATAGAAGACTCTGTGGAACTGGTTTTGGGCAGAAAAGCCATGGTTCATTTGGTCACAAAGGACTATGATCTATCTTTTGAACCACTGGACCAATTTGTATGATTTTGACATATATTTGTATTTGGAGTATGCTGATTCTGAAAATGTGAATGTGATGCATACTTTTCAAGTTATGAATAATGTGGAAAAACTGTATTTCTCTGGCTGTGATAATTACATTACTCATTGTGTAAGGTAATTGTATCACAGGCAGAGGGGAGGATTTGGTTTGGGAGTGTCTGAGTGTATTGTACATGTTTATCGGTTGTTTTCCAAAACCCTGTGGGTGGTATTAATGTGTAAGAATGTGTACATAAGAACGATAAACCCACAGCTCTGTCTGTTCACTGCTTGACCCTCAACACCGAGCTTTCTCTCGTCTTTGGGGGGATTTACTGTATGCTGTTAGAGACTGATTGCTAGGAGTGTAAGCCGCTTGGGTGCTTTTCCTGTTCGTCTGCTAGCAGCTATTCGTGAGGTTCCAGTTCGGGAATTTGGAGTTCTACTTGGTATCCTGTTCGGGAGTTTGGGGTTCTGCAGTAGCTGTGCCTGTGTCTCTGGAAGGGGAAGATCTCCTAAATGGCTTTTAACCCCTTTTATGCCTGGGGGTGCCGTTACACCCTAATACTCTTAGGTCTCATAAAAAAAAAATAGGTACATAAAAAAACAAAATATAAAAGTGAGAGTAAACTAAAATCAGAGATAGGCGTGTTAGTAAATGTAGACCATGAAAAGTAAAACATTTTAAATAATACATTTTCCACAGTAAATATTAAGGAGGAACGTATGGCTAAAAAAAGTTATTGCTGAAAAAAACTTGCCAAAACAATTGTGATCTGATTACTCGAGACAAGGTGCTACAGCAGCTAAAGAAAGTTAATGTAAACAAAGCTCCTGGGCCTGAAGGTATTCATCCACGAGTACTTCACCCCTTAAGGACGGTGGGAGTTCTATGCCATCCTTAAGGGGTGGTCCTAAATACAGCAAGGCCACTTAGAACATCCCCGCTGTCCTTAATATCCATCGGGTCCCCACTGCATCCGCCAGCGGATGCGATCCTGGGGACTGCCTGGGAGCCCAGTTAGTCCCCATCCAGTATGTTTTGCCCTCCCGGGCAATTTGATAGTGGGGTCCTCATGATCACATGTCCTTAATGGCTTTCTGCAGTTCTGCCTGCAGTGGCTAAGCACACGCAGCCCCAGGGAAAATTATGTTTAACCCCTTCCCACCAGATGACGGACCTGGTCCTTCATGACGGAGAGACGGTTAACGCCAAATGACGGATCAGGTCCTGTGGTAAAGTTAACCCTAGATCATGGTGATCACGGGGTTAATGCTCCTCCAGTCTGCCTCTGTAATAAGGCAGACCAGGAGCACCTGATCGCGCTGCCCCTGCAGCAGTGATTGCTCTGACAGGCTGTCAGAGTGAGCACATGTGCTGCAGGGACTCACGATCTGCCTCCCTGCACTTCAGGGTTCAGTGTGAAGTGCCGGGAGACGGATCAGTGATGATGTTTTCCCTGTAAAAAATTAAAAATAAAGTTAAATTAAAACCCCACCCCCCTTAACCCATTTAAAATAAAAAAAATAACCCCTTCCCTGCCAATTGATCACTGCCTACAGTGATCAATTGGCAGGGTATAAATTTTACTGTAATCTGCTTTTTTTTTAACCTCAGGGGTTAATTTTATTTTATTACTTAATTTAAATATATTAAAATAATATATTTAGCTAGCTGGGGTGGGTGGAAGTTAGTGGGAAATTGGGGAATTTGGTGTTAGGCTAGCTTGAGGTTAACGTTAAAACAAGTTTTTAAAAAGTAAAAAAAAAGTGTTTTAATAAAAAAAATTAAAAGTAAAAAAGCCCACTCTCCTTTACCCAGTCCTAATAAAATGAACCCCTTCCCTGCCAGTTGATCACTACCTACAGTGATTATAATACAGTATTATACTGTGATCCGATTTTTTTTTTTATCCCCTCAGGGTTAACTTATTTTTTTTTTTACCCTCAGGGGTTCAATCTATTTAATTAATTAATTTAAATATTTTAAAATGATATATTTTGCTATATTTAAATTAATTAATTAAATAGATTGAACCCCTGAGGGTTAAAAAAAAAAAAGTTTTTAAAATAAATTGAAACAGGACATTTTCTGTACATATGGCCCCTAAGAAAGAGAAAGCCCTAACTACCGAAAAAAAGAAACCATCAATTAGTACATATTACTCACCTAAAATGGCGTCCACAGAATTAGAAAAGCAGCGAAAATCTCTGCCTTTAGATAATGCCGAGCTTTCTGCTCATCAAACATCAAACTTGTCAGAAGAAGATTTCCCACATTTGCCGAAACCAGCACAGGGAATATCACGGCAAGTATTAACTCAACTGCTGGATAACTTGCATACAAAAATTAAAATAGATATCGAACATAATACAAATGCTAAAGGAACTAAACTGGCTGTCGCTGGAATCCAGACGCACCCTTCATCTTTCCAGCCTTGTGTTTAAGAGCTTTTCTGGGAAACTCCCACCCTACCTGAACACAAAGCTTCCCCAGCTGTTCCCACCTCCTATAACCTCTGATCCAGTACCAGCACTTTATTTAATCTACCTCAATACAAAAAGAAAGCAGCCCCATCCTCCTTCTCCTACAGAGCACCGCAATTGTGGAACGACCTCCCGCACAATTTAAAATCTTCCCTAAGCCTAAAGTCCTTTAAGAGATCCTTCTCTACATACCTCAAAACAGAATGCACGTGTCATGGTTGATTATATATTTCCTGCCTGTTCTATGTTAAATTTTGTATATATTGTGTATTAATATTGTTTTTGTATTTTGTTGTACCTAATGTAACAATGCAATGATTTGTGGACCCAGGACATACTTGAAAACGAGAGAAATCTCAATGTATCTTTCCTGGTAAAATATTTTATAAATAAATAAATAATTTCAGAATAGAGGTTGCCGCCCTTTCTGAGAGGATCTCAAGTCAAGCAATTATATTACAAAAAGTCCAGGATGATTATGAACATATTAAATCATCCAATATACAACTAGAGAAGAAAATACAAGATTTTGAAAACAAAATTACAAGCTTAGAAGATCGCTCTAGGAGAAATAATATAAGAGGCATACCAGAAACAATAAAACAAGAAGATTTACATTTATTTCTGGATAGCTTTTTTTCAAAGATTTTGTCTCAGCAGACTTTGGGTTTGGAACCCTTTGAAAGATTTCATAGATTGCCTAAACCAAATGGAATTGATAATTCTTATCCAAGAGATGTTATAATTTGTTTTTCAAGTTTTCAAATTAAAAATAAAATTATGCAGACAGCTAGGAATAAGATCCTGGACACTGAAGAATTTCGGTATTTAAAACTCTTCCAGGACTTATCTCAGAAGACAAGACAAGCAAGAAGAAGTTTCTCAGAGACGGCAATCCTCAGAAAGATGGAGATACGTTATAAGTGGTTGTTTCCGATGGCAATAATGGTCTTTTTTAAAGATCAAACATATATCTTCAGAGACAATATGGCACTTAAAGAGAAAATGACAACTTGGAAGTTTACCTCAAATTGAATTATGTTTTTTCCCTATTATTATCTTACTCTGTACCTATATATGAAAGGGTATTGATCACGCTTTAAGGAAATTAGAGAACACTTAGATTTCTTGAAAAAATTAGTACGTTTAGTAAAAGAAAACACAAAAGTAATAATATTTAGACACACATAATAAATGGGAAAAAAATGGGGGGAACAAGAAGGGAGGGTCAAAATGAGTAAAATGATCATATATCCGGGTTAAATTTTTCAAAAGGAGTAAAATGAGCACATATGCGGGTTAAATTCTCCCCATCTAAACATATTTTAGGGTAAAGGAAAAATTGTAATTGTAATGGTATTTATTAATTAATGACTTTTTGTCATAAAAAAAGCATAATGAGCTTAATGCTTTAGACGCACCACTAGATGTCAGTAAAGCATATTTAGTGTAATGCTTTGGGGGCACCATTAGGGGGAGTGTGTAGGAAGACCTGTGCTTCTGGCAGTGACATCACAGGCCAGCCTACTTACACTGAATAAAACCCAGATGTGAGGAGAAGCGAGCTCTCTGTTTGCCTGTACCTGACTGATCATGTAGTACCAGCTCTGACCCTTTGGCTGGGGCCTTGTAAGTAATATGTTTGTATTGTAACAGTTAGCAATTGTAATAGCCTTAGCAACCAATAATGTTTTGTGTAGTATTGTATTGTATAATTATTGAAATTGACATTCCGCTAGCATCTGTTTATTTGTTATAGTTATATTAAATATACATTTAATATTACAACGTTTTGTGTATTTTCTATCCACATATTTGACCATAATACCATGAATTATAAAAATATTAATGTTGTTCCGTATTGCTTAATTATTATGTATTAAGAGATTAATATTCATATTTAGGTCACGAACCACAACAGTAATGTATAAAGGGAAAGGGGAATGTGACAGATTCATCTGTAGGACTAGTATTGCTGGTTCGTCTAGTTTGCCTCCCCTTTGCGGAATTGTCTGTCCGTATGCCCCTATTCATCTTTTTGAACTCATACCAAATGAAACTACCGAACGGACGGCCACCCAGAAGAGAAGTGTGCTGCTGGTTAACCTCTTGGCCCCAATTAGGACATTGTGGTTAACCGCAGACACCTCTGCCAGGTGGTCGTCGTTCGTATGCCGACCACGAGGTGGCGGCCATTTTGGAACACGCGAAAGACCAGCGGTGTTCGGTGCAGATTTTATGGAACTAAAAACTGACACTTTTTCTACCAAACACCGCTGACTCTACCTTCTCATTCATCGAGGCATGCGAACACTGGTCCGTTCGGGAGTTAGGATGATACAAATGAACTTAACCCAGATAGCCATCCCATGGAGTCAGTCGCATACCGAAAAGACCTGTAAAAGACTTTGACTCCATGGCGATTGAACTGTGCATATGGGATCTGAGCGCTATTCGGTAGGAATATGCACTCAGATCCAGGCTATCTGGGGATACGTTACACGAATGTAATATGTTCGGTATTTGTACAATTACTCATTTTTATGTGTTTTTTATGTTTCATTTAAAATGGTGATTTGCCTCTGTCCTGAGAGATAATTGATTTACTTCTCAATTATCTCCAGGGCAGAGGGGAGGAAACCAGGATGCATTGTGGGAATATTCTGTGACTGTATGTCCTAAAGTGATACATGTCTGTCTGTAACTACAGTCTCCCATTTGGTCCCCTAGGGGAGTGTCCACCAGGTGGGAGACCTGCATAAATACAGGCGGGTAGCCCTCAGTAAAGCCAGTTCTTGTTTTACCCTCAATGCGGAGCTTGGTCTCGTTAATGGGGGGATTAACTACACACGGTTAGCGACTGATTGCTGGAAACGTAAGCCGCTTGGAGAATATATTTGTTCGGCTGTTAGCCGCGATTCGTGGATTTATTGTTTGGGAGTTTGGAGAACCCGTACAGATCCCATTCGGGAGATTGGCGCAATTCCCTGGCCTTAGTTCGTGCGGTTGAGGTATACACGAATTGAGCCTGCATTACTGAGGAAGGGGAAGCTTAACTAAACGGCGGTTTCACTCCTTTGTGCCAGGGGTGTCGTAACAGGAAATATAAATGGTGGTTGTTAATAGAAAATAGAGTAAAATAAGTACACAAATTTAAATTTTGATTGGATTATACTAAATAATTAATAATATATTCCACCTAAATAAATAGGATAACTGAAGCCACATCATTGGGAAAGTTATGGTAATAATGTTAAGAGAAGAGAGAAGAGTAAGAGGTAGGAAGATAAAAGAGAAAACTTTGTACATAAAAGTGTAACTGAAACGACCTAGATAAATCTATTTTTAAGGCAAAATGGGGCAATAGTTACTAATCTGCAGGTGGGATGCGGGGCTGAAATTGTAATATCGAGTATTATTAGTGTTGCGCCTCTGAAAAAAAGAGAAAAGAAAAGGGAAAGAGAGGAAAGAGCATGCATAGATTTAGACAATAGATAATAACCATCTCATTTGCCTGGTCTGGGGTCCTGCGACTGCAGCAG